GACAGATTGGAATAGGGATGGTGAGCTACTGTAATATTCTATATTTCACACTACAACGGGGTCAAGAACAGAGTAACTGTAATCTCTCTTTTTCTTAACTTAACATCAGACAATACATCAAGCCTGTCTGACCTGCTTAAGTGGTCTATTTCTGATGGTGTTGGTCATTTCAGTGGCAGTAAGAGCAAAATTTATTCAGACATTAAAAAGTTGTCAGTCTGAAGCAAAGACTGAATGTCAGTTGTCTCTGCAGTAATCTCCAATAAACAAGTGTGTACCCAGTTTACAGTAATTGAATTCAGTTTGTATTTACATGCGCAATAGCGGTGGAGTTTCAGTTGCTTTTATAGAGAGAATGGGACATGATGATATGATGATTTAAAAAAATATTTAAATGTCAATTTAACCAAAAACAGAAACAAAAAAATATGAACAATGTTTTATTTATTTTTATCCAGTGTTTTTATTTTTCAAATAGCATTTTCTATGCTAAAAGACTACAAAAAACATATACATTTTGCTTTGCAAATGAACGTTCAAGAAACAATCATAGATCCAAAACATTTGACAAAATATGTTTTGTGCAATCTTCAGTGTGACTCTTTCTGAATGAGATCCAGCCACTCATATAACAATCTGGCATAGTTTTAGCATGTTCCTTTCCAGCCTTCTTAAACTGTGACATGTGCCACATTTTAAGGTTTAAGCAATTATTCTCGAGCGTCATAGTTTTTTGTTTGGGGACTTGTGAAATTCAAATTGATTTTCTTCAGCTTGTCATCTGTCTTTTTTTTCTCTTTTGTTTTTGCATCTGTGTTGCTCAGATCCAGATATCAGTGCCTCCTGGTACACAGGCAGGGGGATCAGACCCCTTGGGAGATTTGGTCGAAAAGCTGCAAGAAGAAATGAACTTCTGGCTTTCATCACAGCGAGAGTTTATAGACCAACAGCTGACAGTGGCGTTTGGATCACACAATGAGAACACTGTGGATCATTGAATAGCTGCTATGCTCTCATTTTTTTAGGTTAAGTAATGGAATTGGTCTTAGATTTAGGAGTTTTCTAACATTACATTCAGTTATTTTCTGTAAATTCTGTATAAATAATTTGTGTTTTCTGCTCTACAAGCATGGGGATAAAAGAACATATGTAAGAAAAGCAACATGTAAAGTTGAAAGTGTTACAATTAAAGGAATCCATGAATTAAT